TGGACTTACACTGCTAGAAATCGGGTTTCGATACCCGTGGTGGGCAGAGCATAGGTAGAATACTCTTTGTGTAGCTTTGTGCTTGACTACATGCAAACATCCAAACTGAATGTTGTAACAGGGGAATATATAAAATGGCCCTAAATGGTACAATATATGAACTGGTAGTGAACTGTTTAATGACAATTTAGTAATTTGAAAATTAAGCTGTTATACACGGGCTTTGAAAATTCATTTTCGGAAACAAAGCTTCGGCATAGCCTGAGATAAACCATACATTTTCAGCTGTGGACTTGACGTAAAAGTAACAGTCAAACACAATGTTTGGTTAAGAAAAGTCTAACCAGTGAGTGCTACTGACTTCCCTCTCGTCAGTAGCTCTAAGTTAAGCCTAAACTTTGGAGTTTCTGACTTGTCCTGTACGTAGAGCCCACGTGTTGCATAACAAGCCTTACAAGGTAAGAATCCTCAATTCAAGCTTAAGCATAAAAAAAACTAGCTTCATGAGAACAAAATCATCGTTACAGTAACATTTCAGTATGCTAGTGTGTGGACTAGAAGGAAGTACAAGATAAATCCAAAGTAGTCACGTATAAAAGTAACACCAGTGTAAACGCAATCATCTTGAAGTCACAATATTAAGGAAATAAACATATCTACCGCCAGACTTGAACATCTCGAATGCACGGGCGATATTGAAATCGGAACTAAGACTCGTCTATTTCCTTTCCTCTAACATATACTGTATCTAATACTCTACATTTGTTACCAGTCAAAACTGAGATCAGAGTTCCAGATCGGCTAATTCGATTCTTTGATACCCTAATAGATTTCCTAAGTCGCGGCACGACATACTGATATCAACCATATCTGTCTAGCATTAACCAGTTTAATCATACGTTATTCTCCGATAGTAGTTACCAAACCGAGATATATTTATAAACCGGGTTAATACCAACAAGAACAAAATGTAATGTATGAATAAAAGTTGTAAATTTCTTAGAACTGTCTTTGAGGTTTGTATCTTTATATAGATACGTACAAATGTGTGTTTGTGCATGATTTTTATATAGATACGTACATATGTGTGTGTGTGTGTTTGTGTATGATTTTATATAGATACGTACATATGTTGTGTGTGTGTGTTTGTGCATGATTTTATATAGATACGTACATATGTGTGTGTGTTTGTGCATGATTTTATATAGATACGTACATATATGTGTGTGTGTTTGTGCATGATTTTATATATTAATAAAAATTCTTACAAACTTTTTATGAGAAATATAAGACCTTATAGCACACTTGCAGTTGTAAAGTATGGAACGAGATGCGAACCACGAATCTTCTGAATCACAGTCCAGGCACGCTAACCACTTAGTCACGCTGACCCTTTATTTGTGGGAGTTGATCATGTTTATACACTAATTGTTTTTGTATAGAGATTAGAGTTCTTATTTGTGTTGAGGCAACTAATTTCTTTTCTTTGTGCAAGTTGTGTATGCAATTTTTATCTTATAAACTCGTACTTCAAAAACAGGATCTTTAGAATTTAGAATTTTCTAAAGAAAGTCGATTCAGTAATACTAAATAACATTATATACGCGTACAATACTTAATACTAAATATAAAACTTCTCACTTTTAACTTCCTGCTTGAGTTGTCGTACAAAGTCTGCCAGTTTCCCGACCCCGTCCAAATATTTTCCTGTTTTTTTATGTTATTAATATATTAGATGACGGTATTGGATTTTTAATTTCATTCTTTTCACTCAATCATTTCTATAAAGGTTGATAATTCATAAAAAGTTATTATAAATCAACAGCGAGATTTCACGACAAAAACATAAACAATACAGAATATAAATCGAAGGAATAATTACACTTGCACGATCATCTGTAATAAGTGCTTTAATTCTATTTCTTCCTTCTTGCAGCTGGGGCGCATTTCTTTTCTTGTAGTTGGCCATCTAATGCTTCTTTGAGTGGAGAGCAACATCTATCGTTTAAATCCAATTACGTTGAAATCAATATGATGCTCACAAAGGTAAAGGAGGGTACGTGTAACTAAAACTTCTGTAAACTCGTCCACGGCATGGCTAGTCTCTATTAGGAAGCAGCAAGCAGTTATCATATCTCCCTACCTAACAGTATTTATGGGTTAAGCGCTACAAAAAAATCAGCTTGAACAGGCATACAAGGTCATAAAACTCTTGTGGGAAGCCCTACTTTCAACACAGTAAATCCATGCTGTACAGAATTATGCGGAAAGCAACTGAGAAATAAATATGCTCTTGTAAACTCCGCACGCAAAGGTAAAAACGATACAAAATGTTTCAAATTGTCTTCTTTATTATTAACGAGTTGAGATTCCACAAAATGTTATGTACTTATTCTTCATATTCTAAAAACCTTATTGACGTCAAAATTTTTTGCTAAATGTCAACGTTTAAAATAACCGTTTGATAGGACTGGTTCAAGACTTAACAACGTTTTTCAAACGATTCTTTAAATTCAGTTTCTCGTTTCGACATTTCGCTTAGTCCTGCTCTTACTTGATGGGTCTTTGGAAACTATAATATACGATACGTCGGAGGAGTTTATTAAACCCCCTCATAAAATAACTTTAAAAATAAAAAAGTTTATTAAACTAAATCCAATAATAATTTTTATTATCTATTTTTCCTGGAGTGTAATGCCATTACGACTAAATGTCTAACAAGCTTCAAAGCAGTCCTATAGACTCTGTCTTGATCTTTGTCAATGTTTACTTAATTTCCATAGAAACGTATGGAGCCAAGGAAACCACTCATTGTCTTTTCTCTTTTTTTTTGGCGGTGAAGAAAATTAATCATTTAAAGAATAGATATTTCAAATTCATTTAATCTTCAGACTATATGCCTTAATAAGTGAACGTTTATGGACATTGCTTATTTATTACCCATTTATTGGGAAATACAAATTAAAGTTCACAATTACTGGTTTAAGATTTAACATTTGTAAAAGCATATAAAAACCGCTCTACTAACCCACCTCCAGCGGTAAGTCTGTAGACTCATAATGCTGAAATTTGGGTTTCGATACCCGTGATTGGCAGAGCACAGAAAGTCAGTCCATTGCGTAGCTTTGTGCTTTACTACAAATAAACAACCCACTCCACTGACTAAAAATATTTTAGAATAACTATAAAACAACGTTATAGATTAATTGAAATCACAATCATTACTTTGTTGTACTCCATGATACGAGGATGCAGAATATATTATTCAAAACGTGCTGCGGGTCATATTAAAGATACCCCCCCCTTTGGGTTAGCAGTAAATTTGCAAACAAACAAACATATTAAAGGTAATTAGGGCATATGTTGTGAGAGCCAGTCAACAAAGATTTAGTGGGCCTTATATTTTCAAAAATATGTTAATTCTAAAATTTCTCGAAATATTGTCAAAAGCAAAATCTAGTAAGACTCAAAAGCACAATTAAAATTTATCCAGAACAACGCAGAATAAACAGATAATTGTTTTTGTACATGGTTTGATTATTGATATCTTAGTTGCCCTCGTGATCAAACGCACCTGCGCCCTAATCCATCTTGGTGAGACACTTGACCAAGTCTCTGGTAATTTCAGGGTAATTTTAGCCTTTTCATTTCCTGACTAAGATATCTGAAGAGAAAGCATATCGTCTCTTGTTGAACTCTCTGGTGTCCTGGTATCGGAACCACTAGGGTGTGGTTAAACTTAGGACGCGATGATTTATTAGGTTGCTGTTCCGTTATTTCCTGTGACAAGAAAGTGGCATCAGTACCACAGGAGCATGTGAGGAGAAAATAGAGAGTAAGCAGGAGGATGGAGCGAAGCTAGCAGCTCAATGTCAAAACAGACAGCTATTTAGAGCTAAGCAGCTCGGTGATATATGGCCGTACTATTATTTCTTCTTTTTCTCATAACGCCAGTTTTCCATTCAAAATTAGATCAAAGTGATTTTGATTAAGATTGTAATGAGCGATTCATCAGACAAGTAACAACTTAAATTACTACATAAATTGCTTCTTGGATACTTTCCAAACATCGTTATGGCTTTGCTATGTGTTTGGGTAAATTTACTTTCCTTTCTTCTCAGAGTAAATATAAAACAATAGCACAAGACGTATTAGATTACACAGCTTGTATTAGTTGGATTTGGATAATAAGCAGAAGCTACTGTGGATTTAAAGTAATTTTCAGAGAAAGCTAGTTAGATAATACAGGTGACAGCCAAGCGACAAAAAAATGGATGAATGACGAAGTGCGAAAGAAAATTAATCGATGAGAAATTAGCCAAGAAGAATAGCTTAAATAGGAACCATAGTAAAGTCAAATTACCATTTTGATACATTTACTTAGATGTAAATGAAGTTTGCATTAAAGCTGTATTGTAAACTTTCAATGTGTTTTTCAAACACAGATGTTACAGATCTCCTGGAACTTAATTTTATACGTGGGGGTGACAGAAGAGACACTGGGGATCCAGAGACCCGAAAGAGTTGTTAAGGTCATATGATCAAGTAGTTATAGGCTCACCTTCTTGTTGTAGATAGTACAAAGATATCTATTTGCGGCTATAGACTATCGATCCCGAAATATCTGCCAAGGTCATTTGGTTAAAGTCATCGTAGAAGTCTTAGAAACCATTGATTGAAAACTACTATGCTTGTCTGTAACTTTGATATGACCTTGACCCACAATCATCAAAGGCTAATTATTTAGTCTGTAAGTGAGGTTATTATCTTTTTTTCATCAAATGTACTCAAACTTCACATTTTTTTTTAGAAACGCTTTCTACTTAAACACACTCGAAATATATTCTTTTACTAATAATTTAACTTGGAAGGGTGAACAGTGTAATTATTATTATACCACTAAACAAACATGGAGTTTTTGTAATGTAATAAATATGGCTTATTATGTTATCATGCATCATTTTAGTAACTGGACTTATGGATTTCCATTTTTTTTACAGGTCCTTCAGGGCAACACCAACACCTATTTTCCAGCTTTACGAGTGATTGATCCGCTGATTATTGCTTCCAAAATTCGATTTATCCCTCACAGCATTCTTCTTCGTACTGTGTGCATGCGAGTAGAAGTTTATGGTTGTCCTTGGACAGGTAAATACCGCTTGCTTTAATCGAATTTGATTTTACATTTCAACTTTTACAGTTAGGATTTCCAATGACTTTATTTCCGTTTTCTCGTCTTACAGTATATATTGCTATAAACTTTCATATACATATTTTCTACATCTTTTCGCTGTACTTTGTATCGTGTGATGTTTTGTTACTACACAAATATTTTCTCCTTTGTACAATTTGTCATCGACTTTCTACAAAGGTTGAGTACGTTTTACTAAAACGATTTTGGAGCATCGTTATAATCGATGTCACTACGTCCGGTCACCCTCTATCTGTCGACCATGTATGTTGATAATAGCCCAGCAGCGTAGTTACTATTTCGTCAGGTCGTCATGCCCAAAGTACACCACTCATCCCTGCATTTTTTTCATAATTCATCTTTATACGAGGTCAGCGTTTTCTCAGTGTCTGTTTCAACGGTCCAATTGTACAGAAATCCATAGGCGCTCGTCCGACAGCTTGACAGGTATGTCTTTGTATGAATAGCTTGAATACCCATTTCATTCTCTAGCTGCTTTAGGTATGCAATAGTTGAACAGATATATATTGTGAAAACAACTTATGTACACGTGCCTTTTGTCGTTTTCAAGGTGGAGATCCTTCTTGTTTATGTTGCGTTCTGTTACGCGGGGTACGTGGGGGGCTTTTGCCACTGACCTTTGTGTTTGTGGATTCTCACCTTTTACAAGATACCGCACTTTGCTAACCACGACTGGTGTTCTTGTTGTATATCTCTTTCTAGATGGTCATGGTTCCATTAAGTACAAGGGATGTCCCTCACTTGAACACATCTTTACGGCTTGACTGTATGAATAATTATCTTCAGAAAAAGCTGTTATTTGACCTTCCAAAAACTGGCCATATACGAAAAGCCAAATAATATCAAAAGGTAGTTTGTTCTGATACATTCCATTCCACGCGACTTTATATTGGCTGTGTTTGTCACATGACTACCTCATTGCAAATTAAATATCGTTTTAATATAACGTATTCAACCATCAGCAAACATATGTGTCAGTCATGTTAGCTTTACTTCATATTTATGTGTTAATCATATCAGTTTCACTTCATACATACGTATCAATCGTTTTCATTTCACTTCATACTATTCTGTAAGTCGTGTCAGTTTCACCTCAACCCGCAATTATTTATCTTATCATCATTCTCTCTATCAATTATCAGTACAGATTCCTACACTAAGCTTATTCACAATAGCTTGGATGAAAATATTGCATATGCAAACGAATGTTTTATAGTCTCTCTGTTTTTATGATACAGAAATATTGTTGCCCGGTAATTAAAAGCTTGATTTGAGGTCAGGTATACTAATATAAATCATACCATTTTACCAAGACCCTCATGTGACTTCTATAATATTTGTTTAAGAGTGTTATTTGTAAACATCAGTGCAGTGTACATAGGATAGTTTTGTTGTTGTTTTTATTTCGTCATATTAAAGACACGAGGTACCTATAGAACTTCACTAGACTTAATAATACATTTTTAAATAATTATTATATGCATACTTGTATTTACTCCATACTTATCTATGTATATCACGCTAAATTACTGAGTAGTTCGGTGTTTACTGAACGTTAATGGTAATGTGATTTAGTGGGATGACTTGACTTATTAAATTGAAGATGCACGATCCCAAAATGTAAGATTTTATTTGCATGAATACAGCTTACCGTGTTGAAATTGTCACTGTATTATTTCTTTCGCCCAAACTTTTACAATTTAATTCATCGTTTGTCTGTCATTGTGCTCTTGGATGTATCTTTTGTAATTAACTGCGGTGTTCGACAGAGAAACCCCATTTACAGGGAAGGCGGAGGTTGGTTAGGAGAGGTAGTATAGTCTGTCAAAGGTATGCCACCTAGAGTGTACGAAACACTAGTGTTCTACATAACGACGAGGTTGTCTGGGTTGTTGGTAACATTAATGTTGTTGGGTAACACAGCGGGATTCCGCTTAATGTACAGTTTGTGTTTGGTAGAATGGAGATGAAGGCTCCAGCATCTGGGGTTTTCTCAGGAACGCCCCTCAATTGTCTGATTGCGCTAGAATCTAATGAGAAAATACGGTCATTTTGAATGTTCTCTTGTCGCCAGGAAGCAGTAGCGTGGAGTGCTTAAAGTTAAATATATTATGACATTCCTCTTGCCGCATGCTGGTTTTCATAGTTCTGATGAATTCGATATTGAAATCTACCTCAACATTCACCCCGGTGCTCTCGCTATAAAACAATAACAATTTATTAATATAATAATAAATTCAAATCTCAGTGTTTAGAAATATGTAATACATACTAAAGTAAAAATAAAGCATTTGGTTGTTCTTTTTTATGTAATCCATAACAATAGGACCGTTTTACTCCACACCCCTTTTAATGGTTTTACAGTATTCAAATATGAAACGTTTTGCTATATTTTAAAATCACCCATGTTCTAAAAAACATTCCGAGAAATAACAAGCGTAGAGGAAATTTATAATCACTTAATATACTGAGTCTATGTTGTTGTTTGCTATTTCTGATCACCTTATAAAAGTTTTGGAACTGTGGTTACATAAGTTACATGTGTTCGGTGAAAAACAAAACAAAGCAAGCGTCCCTAAATTTCACGTCAATTTTTCAAACTTTTGATAAAGAATGAAAACATTGATTTTTCACTTCTGTCTAACACGGTTTGTTTGCTTTAGGGCAAAGCCACATTGGGCCATCTGCTTCGTCTATTGCAAGGAATCGAACCCCGGATTTTAGCGTTGTAATTCCGTAGGCTTACCTCTATTCGACCGAAGGATAGCATACGTTTAACCTTGTATTTTCTCAGTTATTTTACTATTGGTTAAAAAACGTTCTTACGAGAAACATCGTGTACCCATTAACACTTTAATTAAAATATTGATTAGACGTATTCTTAATGGAAGTCTTCAAACTGCCCCCCCCCCCAGTAAGCTGTTATTACTAACCAACTCATATTATAATTTTTTTGAGCAAACAGCGAAAGATATAACTAACTCAATATTACACAATATATGAGCAATGTGAATTAATTTTAAATCTCACGTAGCGTATTCCTTCCTATGTGTGTTCTATGTCTTCGGATCCTAAAATATTCCTTATAATTCCGACGTTTGTGCCTTTGTATTATTTATTTTCTCCTTTTGGTTGATTTCTTATTTTGGTGATGGTAGTAGTAGCGGTCAAATCTTACTATTACATAGAGCTTTTACAGTTGATATATAAAAAATATGCGGAACACATTTATGAAAACAACTACGGTAGGTGGCGCTCCAAGGTAACCACAAAACACGGTAGATCTTTTCTATCTTACGAATAAAGTGTTATCAATGCAACTTACATCAAATGTTCACTATATTTTCTATCTGTTTCAACCACAAACTCCAGATGAGGCAGTACAAGACAGACAACAATGCGAAGTATATTTTCAGTGACGTCCATCACGCAATGCTGAATTTTAGTTTTGCTCATGTGTTAACATTGTAACAATCCTGTTAATTTATGAGTGACTGAACGAGCTCTGACACCAAGTTTACATTTTTTGACAACAAATACATCTTGAAGGTAATCCTTAAAGTGCCCCCTACACATTTATACTCAAACTTATTTTGCACCAGCCCTGTATTTCGAGGAAATGTGCATAAAAGTTTCATTAAGCTCTCATGGGCCATCATATACAGCCATTAAATATCATTAACATACTAATATAATTATACATTTTCTTTATCACTTACATTTTTAGAGCAAAACCACATTGGGCTCTCTGCTGTGTTCACCGCGGAGAATCGAACCCCGGATTTTAGCGCTATAATTCCGCAAACTTACCGCTGTACGCTATAATCATTTATTTCTACATCAATAACTTCTGTAAATGTAGGTGTAACTGAAAATTTGTAAACCTTGATAATTATTTATGAAGAAAGATTACAAATCGTAATTTAATTTTTTTTGGTTGTTTTTTTGCACTGACAGTGTTTTATTCGAAATGTATATCCAATATTTAATAATAGCTCTGTTGGGAATAGAGTCATACTGTGTGAATTCTGATATCACGTGCCGTTGTAGATTGTCATAATGCTCAAATCCTATTTATCTGTGTGTTGTTATATTGAATATTTTCATACAAAGCTACACAAGGAGTTTCTGCGAATAACCGTTCCTAATTTTGAATTAATGGAGTAGCTAGAAAGCAGTTAATCAACAGTACACACCACCAGCTCTTGGGCTACTCTTATCTGACCGAGATTTTATGGTTCTTCCATAACTTATACATTTATATCTAGAATTATTTTGTGTGAGTTCTTTATGTTATAGAATAAAGAGCAGATTTTAACAATTTTGATATGGTCATTGTGAATTAATATGCTAAAATAAATAAAATAACAACAAAAAAACTGGGAACACGTACTCATTAACGGAGTTACTACAGCCTATTATAGAATATGAAAAGACGTCGAAGAACAAAATATTCGCGTTGTTAATTGTGTAGCGAAATTCATTATTAAACTTTAATAATGTTCTTAAGCTCTGTAACTTTGTTAACAATGTTAAAATACGTATTGAGAACCAGTAGTTTTCTACATGATCAACAGAACGCTGTTGAGAAGGGAAGATGAAACCATTGAGCTAAAATAGCTATTATTAACCAGTTTCATCTTACATGGATATAATAATAGCTCTAATCTGTTGAAAATAATTCTGTTTCATTCATTCCAGATTTATTATTTGGTTTTTATTTTCTTCTTTCCTTGGTATTTCATGTGAAATAATAATAACGATAAGTGCTAAGTTGAAAAAAAAACGATATACTACCCACGAAAGGTACACTACTTATGATGATTCCTTAAGAGAAGTTTCTGGCATTTTACAGTCAACCATAATTTATGTTTGACAATTCAGTAAATATCAATTTGAAAATAAAAGCGTGGAAACACTGGGTAAGAAAAAGTAACACAATACCATTGGCGTCTGTATGCAGATAGCTCTATTTTACCAACGTCTTATTAAACATCATATACACCATTGAAACAAATAAAAAATATTGAAGCCTGCCTCATCGTTTTAGAGGTGGCACACGTAGACAAGATGTCTTGCTAACATATATTACCTAGTGGCCACTGATTCCTCATTAAACTCTTTTCTAGCGTTGCTGATATCTTATCTCATTTAGCTAAATCTCTTCATTGCACGAGGCTTAAAATTCACTTTACTCAGGGTGAAGGCAAGTGAAGATTAAATTACGAAAGCAGG